GCCGCTCGCGGTGTAATGGGTCATCGGCTGTCCCCGCTTCTCTTCTCGAGGGCTCAAGGCAGAGGCTCTGGCCCCTGCAGCCGCCCACCCTGCCCTCGCAGCCGGACTCCCAACGCCTGTGTAAGTGCTTAGGAGAAGCGAAAGGAGGAGGGCAGGAGAGCAGGGGGGAACGAGGGGGGACGAAGGGGGAGAGGGGGCAAGAGAGGACCAGGGGAAGGACGAGGGGGAGGAAAAAGCGGGAGAGGTGGAGGGGAGGAGAGGGCGGAGGGGGCAGGAGAGAACAAGGAGGAGGATCAGGGGGAGGAGGGGGAGAAGGTGGAGAAAGAGCAGCAGGAAAAGAAGAGGAGGAGGAGCAGGAGGATGAAGAGGAGGAGGGAGGGGGAGGGGGAGGAGGGGGCGGGCTGGGGGGAGGAGGGGAGAGGAGGGGGGGGCTGGGGGAGGAGGGGGGAGGAGGGGGCGGGCTGGGGGGAGGAGGGGGGAAGAGGGGGCGGGCTGGGGGGAGGAGGGGGGAGGAGGGGGCGGGCTGGGGGGAGGAGGGGGGAGGAGGGAGCGGGCTGGGGGGAGGAGGGGGGAGGAGGGGGCGAGCTGGGGGGAGGAGGGGGGAGGAGGGGGCGGGCTGGGGGGAGGAGGGGGGAGGAGGGGGGCGGGCTCGGGGGGAGGGGGAGGAGGGGGCGGGCTGGGGGGAGGAGGAGAGGAGAGGAGGGGGCGGGCTGGGGGGAGGAGGGGGGAGGAGGGGGCGGGCTGGGGGGAGGAGGGGGGAGGAGGGGGCGGGCTGGGGGGAGGAGGGGGGAGGAGGGGGCGGGCTGGGGGGAGGAGGGGGAGGAGGGGGCGGGCTGTGGGGAGGAGGGGGGAGGAGGGGGCGGGCTGTGGGGAGGAGGGGGGAGGAGGGGGCGGGCTGGGGGGAGGAGGGAAGGAGGGGGCGGGCTGGGGGGAGGGGGGAGGAGGGGGCGGGCTGGAGGGAGGAGGGGGTGGGCTGGGGGGAGGAGGGGGGAGGAGGGGGTGGGCTGGGGGGAGGAGGGGGGAGGAGGGGGCGGGCTGGGGGGAGGAGGGGGGAGGGGGCGGGCTGGGGGGAGGAGGGGGCGGGCTGGGGGGCACGGGGCGGCCGGCCTCCGCGCTAGGGGCGCAGCGGGGCGCGGCAGCGGCGCCCCGTCGGCGGCGCACCCCGCAGCGGCGCACGCGCAGGTCGGGCAGGCTCAGCAGGCGCGGCCGGGCCTCGCCGCCCTCGGCGGCGGCGCGCACGATCACGGGCACCGGGCCGGTCTCGGCGGCCACGCAGCGCCGCGGGCCCAGGAAGGGCGCGGGCGGGGCGCGCGGCGCGGGGGGCTGGCGGCAGGCGCCGGCGCACTCGTGCAGCAGGAGGCCGGGCGGCTCCAGCACCCAGTGCGCGGCCCAGCGCAGCCCCTGCAGGTCCAGGTAGCTCTCGCGGCGGCAGCAGCGGGCGCCCTCCGCCGGGGCCTCGGGGCGGCAGTCGCCTTGAGCCCTGCGGAGACCGGACGGCGGGGTCGGGGCGGGCGAGGGGACGGGGCGGGCGAGGGGTCGGGGCGGCGGGGACGGGGCGGGCGAGGGGTCGGGGCGGGCGAGGGGACGGGGCGGGGCGAGGGGTCGGGGCGGCGGGGACGGGGCGGGCGAGGGGTCGGGGCGGGCGAGGGGACGGGGCGGGCGAGGGGTCGGGGCGGCGGGGACGGGGCGGGCGAGGGGTCGGGGCGGGCGAGGGGACGGGGCGGGCGAGGGGTCGGGGCGGGCGAGGGGACGGGGCGGGCGAGGGGTCGGGGGCGGCGGGGGACGGGGCGGGCGAGGGGTCGGGGCGGGCGAGGGGTCGGGGCGGCGGGGGACGGGGCGGCGGGGACGGGGCGGCGGGGACGGGGCGGGCGAGGGGTCGGGGCGCCGGGGACGGGGCGGGCGAGGGGTCGGGGTGGCGGGGACGGGGCGGGCGAGGGGGACGGGGCGGCGGGGACGGGGCGGGCGAGGGGTCGGGGCGGCGGGGTCGGGGCGGGCGAGGGGTCGGGGCGGCGGGGACGGGGCGGGCGAGGGGTCGGGGGCGCCGGGGACGGGGCGGCGGGGACGGGGCGGGCGAGGGGTCGGGGCGGCGGGGACGGGGCGGGCGAGGGGACGGGGCGGCGGAGTCGGGGTCTTGGGTCAAGTGCCGCCTTGGGAGCCCCGCTCCCCCCCCGCCTCCCCCGCCCCCGCCCCGCCCCCGCCCCACCCCCCGTCCCCGCCCCCCCCGCCCTCGTCCCCCGCCCTCCCCCCGCCCTCCCCCTCGCCCCCGCCCCCGCCCCTCGCCCTCGCCCCCCCGCCCCCGTCCCCGCCCTCCCCCCCGCCTTCCCCCCGCCCTCCCCCGCCCTCCCCCCGCCCCCCCTACCCGTAGGCCTCCAGGTCCAGCGTGTGCAGCTCCAGCCGCGGGGCGGCCTCCGCGCCCTCCGGGCCCTGCGCCCCGAAGCGGACCAGCCGGTGCGCGCCCGCGGCCCCGGGGCCCAGCGGCTCCCGGCGCACCGACACGCGCAGCAGCAGCGGCGGCCGCGGCGGGCTCAGCTGCCGCCAGAAGGTCACGGCGTCGGTCACGTCGAAGGCCTTCCAGCCGCTGTCATGGACGTTCACCAGCCTGCGGGGGGGGGGGGGTGAGGGGGGGGTGAGGCGAGGGGGTGAGGGGGGGGTGAGGAGAGGGGGTGAGGGGCGGGCCCCGTCCCCCTTCCCTCCGCCCCGCCCCTCCGCCCCGCCCCCTTCCCTCCGCCCCGCCCCGCCCCGCCCCTCCCCCTTCCCTCCGCCCCGCCCCTCCCCCTTCCCTCCGCCCCGCCCCTCCCCCTTCCCTCCGCCCCGCCCCTCCGCCCGCCCCTCCGCCCCTCCCCCTCGCCCCCCCCCCCCCCCCCGGCCCACCTGGAGTCCACCAGCCAGGCGCGGCGGGAGCCGTCGGGCAGGACGCGCAGCCACTCCACGGTGACCTGCGCGCGGGCGCTGCGCTCGGGCCGGCGCGGAGCCGCAGGGGGACGGCGGCCGCTGGAAGAGCCGCAGCGCCGCCCGCACCAGCTCGCTGCCGGCCGGCAGCCGCCGCTCCAGGCCGAAGGCCAGCACCAGCGCGGACGCCTCGGACGCCTCGGACGCCAGCAGCCGGCCGGCCACCTCTGCGGACACAGCGCGCTCAGCCGGGCCCGGGCCGACCCGACCCGACCCCACCCGACCAGATCCGACCCCACCGACCCGACCCCACCCAACCCGACCAGATCCGACCCGACCCCACCCAACCCGACCAGATCCGACCCCACCCCACCCGACCCGATCAGATCCGACCCGACCCCCACCCGACCCGATCAGATCCGACCCCACCCCACCCGACCCGATCAGATCCGACCCGACCCCACCCGACCAGATCCGACCCCACCCGACCCGATCAGATCCGACCCCACCCCACCCGACCAGATCCGACCCCACCCGACCCGATCAGATCCGACCCCACCCCACCCGACCCCACCCGACCAGATCCGACCCCACCCGACCCGATCAGATCCGACCCCACCCCACCCGACCCCACCCGACGCGACCCCACCGGACCCGACCAGATCCGACCCGACCCCACCCGACCCGACCCGACCCCACCCGACCCGATCAGATCCGACCCGACCCCACCCGACCCGACCCCACCCGACCGGACCCGACCCGACCCCCACCCGACCCCACCCGACCCGACCCCACCCGACCGGACCCGACCAGACCCCACCCGACCCCACCCGACCCGACCCGATCCGACCCGATCCGACCCCACCCGACCCGACCCCACCCGACCCGACCCGACCCGACCCCACCCGACCAGATCCGACCCCACCCGACCCGACCAGATCGACCCCACCCGACCCGACCCGACCCCACCCGACCCGACCAGATCCGACCCCACCCGACCCGACCCGACCCGATCCGACCCCACCCGACCCGACCCCACCCGACCCGACCCGACCCGACCCCACCCGACCCGACCAGATCCGACCCCACCCGACCCGACCCGACCCGACCCCACCCGACCCGATCAGACCCGATCCGACCCCACCCGACCCGACCCCACCCGACCCCACCCGACCCGACCCGACCCGACCCGACCAGATCCGACCCCACCCGACCCGACCCCACCCGACCCCACCCGACCCGACCCCACCCCACCGGACCCGACCAGATCCGACCCAACCCCACCCAACCCGACCAGATCCGACCCGACCCCACCCGACGCGACCCCACCCAACCCGACCAGATCCGACCCCACCCCACCGGACCCGACCAGATCCCACCCGACCCGACCCGACCCGACGCGACCCCACCGGACCCGACCAGATCCGACCCGACCCCACCCGACGCGACCCCACCGGACCCGACCAGATCCGACCCGACCCCACCCGACGCGACCCCACCGGACCCGACCAGATCCGACCCGACCCCACCTGACCCGACCCGACCCCACCCGATGCGACCCCACCTGACCCGACCCGACCCGACCCCACCCGACCCGATCAGATCCGACCCGACCCCACCCGATCAGATCCGACCCGACCCGACCCGATTCGACCCGACCCGATCACATCCGACCCGACCCGACAGCCCCGCCCAGAAGGAAGGGCCCAGGACCCCAGCGGAGCCGCGAGCCGGCCTCCCCCCCCTTCCCCCCAGCTGGTCCTGGCCGGGCTGCCCAGCCCCGGCTTCGCCCGCCCCGCTCCCTCCCCCTTTCTGGGGTTGCGCTGTGTCCCGTCCAGCCCCCCACTCCTACTCATCCAGCCCCACCCCTACTCTTCCAGCCCCCACCCCTACTCATCCAGCCCCACCCCTACTCATCCAGCCCCCACCCCTACTCACCCAGCCCCCACCCCTACTCACCCAGGCCCACCCCTACTCATCCAGCCCCACCCCTACTCATCCAGCCCCCACCCCTACTCACCCAGCCCCACCCCTACTCACCCAGCCCCCACCCCTACTCACCCAGGCCCACCCCTACTCATCCAGCCCCCACCCCTACTCATCCAGCCCCCACCCCTACTCACCCAGCCCCCACCCCTACTCATCCAGCCCCCCACTCCTACTCACCCAGCCCCCACTCCTACTCATCCAGCCCCCACCCCTACTCATCCAGCCCCACCCCTACTCATCCAGCCCCCACCCCCTACTCACCCAGCCCCCACCCCTACTCACCCAGCCCCCACTCCTACTCATCCAGCCCCCACCCCTACTCACCCAGCCCCACCCCTACTCACCCAGCCCCACCCCTACTCACCCAGCCCCCACCCCTACTCACCCAGCCCCCACTCCTACTCATCCAGCCCCCACCCCTACTCACCCAGCCCCACCCCTACTCACCCAGCCCCACCCCTACTCACCCAGCCCCCACCCCTACTCACCCAGGCCCACCCCTACTCATCCAGCCCCCACCCCTACTCACCCAGCCCCCACCCCTACTCACCCAGCCCCCACCCCTACTCATCCAGCCCCCACCCCTACTCATCCAGCCCCCACCCCTACTCACCCAGCCCCCACCCCTACTCATCCAGCCCCCACCCCTACTCACCCAGCCCCACCCCTACTCACCCAGCCCCCACCCCTACTCATCCAGCCCCCACCCCTACTCACCCAGCCCCACCCCTACTCACCCAGCCCCCACCCCTACTCATCCAGCCCCCACCCCTACTCATCCAGCCCCCACCCCTACTCACCCAGCCCCCACCCCTACTCATCCAGCCCCCCACTCCTACTCACCCAGCCCCCACTCCTACTCATCCAGCCCCCACCCCTACTCATCCAGCCCCCACCCCTACTCACCCAGTCCCACCCCTACTCATCCAGCCCCCACCCCTACTCACCCAGCCCCCACCCCTACTCACCCAGCCCCCACCCCTACTCATCCAGCCCCCACCCCTACTCACCCAGCCCCCACCCCTACTCATCCAGCCCCCCACCCCTACTCACCCAGCCCCCACCCCTACTCATCCAGCCCCCACCCCTACTCATCCAGCCCCCACCCCTACTCACCCAGCCCCCACTCCTACTCATCCAGCCCCCACCCCTACTCATCCAGCCCCACCCCTACTCATCCAGCCCCCACCCCCTACTCACCCAGCCCCCACCCCTACTCACCCAGCCCCCACTCCTACTCATCCAGCCCCCACCCCTACTCATCCAGCCCCCACCCCTACTCACCCAGCCCCACCCCTACTCACCCAGCCCCCACCCCTACTCACCCAGCCCCACCCCTACTCATCCAGCCCCCACCCCTACTCACCCAGCCCCCACTCCTACTCATCCAGCCCGCACGCCTACTCATCCAGCCCCCCACTCCTACTCATCCAGCCCCCACCCCCTACTCACCCAGCCCCCACCCCCTACTCACCCAGCCCCCACCCCTACTCACCCAGCCCCCACCCCTACTCACCCAGCCTGGAATCCCTACTCACCCAGCCCCCACCCCTACTCACCCAGCCTGGAATCCCTACTCATCCAGCCCCCACCCCTACTCATCCAACCCAGAACACCATCCAGCAGGCACACACCCCGTCCAGCAGGCACACTCCCCGTCCAGCAGGCACACTCCCCGCCCAGCCTGGTGGCCCCACAGGCTGGCAGGGCCCGGGTCCCTCGGGGAGGCCCACCTCGGAAACTCTGGCTGAACCTCTTCTCCCGGGAGCGCCCCCCGTGGCTGCGGTGGAGCAAAGCCACGTACTGGGCCCTCATGGGGGCGGGGATGGCCGCGCCCTGGGCGCCCGCCCCGGGCAGGACCGGGGCCTGGCTCAGCTGCAGCTGCTCCAGCAGGCTGTGCAGGACCTGCTCCCCGGTCAGGCCCGTGCTGGGGCCGGCTAGGGACAGCGCCCAGAGCGCCCAGAGGAGCCACATGGCACCACCCAGGAGGAAAGGGGGCCGCGGGAAGGGTCCAGGCCTGGCCAGGTGTGCCACCGGCAGGAGCTGGCCAGCTTTATAGCAGGCCTGGGGTGGGGGAGGGGAGACCGCACCCTGGGAGCTCTGGGACCAGACGGGCCTGTGTGTGTTGGGGTGGGGGGGTGTCTAGAAGTGCACAAAGGGCACAAAGGGCTGTCTGCTGGCCAGCAGCCGCAGGCTGCACTGCCCTGCCTCTTGCGCTTCCCCGTGTCTGTGTCCCCCCTCCCCCCTCTCCATCTCCAGGGGACTCCTCCTCCTGCGGGCCCGGGCCACTTCACAGGTGTCTGTCTCCTTAGTGGCCGGGGCCTCTGTCCATCCCCACGCTGGCCAGTCCCCTGCTCCCCCTCAGGTTGCCCCTGCAGAAGAAGCCAGACAGGTCAGTAGAGAAATCTGGCAGCCCGGTCCCAGGAGACCACACGGCCAGGCAGGGCCGGCTCCAGGCAGCCGTTCTTCCTGAGGGGTGTGCCCTGGGAGCTGGCCGGGACTGGTCCTGCTCAGACACAGAACAAGGGGCAGGATGTGGAGAGCTGAGGCCAGCGCTGCCCAGAGGCGCGTGCAGTCAAGGGGGACCCCAGAGCATCCCAGTCCAAACCGACCACGGTCCTGCTGGACCTGCTAACCACTCCCCAGCCCCGCGGGCTCCTTGGGCATGGGAAGGAGGGCGGCAAGGACCGGGTCTAGTTGGAGGTCTTGGTGCGAAGACTGAATGAGCATGATCCAGGCTCAGTAAGTTCTAGGACTTGCCAGCATTGTCATCGGCTTCACTCTGCATTCTCAGGGCTGGGGCTTTTCTAAAACTGACATGAACAAGAAGAGCAACCAAGTCTCCCTGCCATGCCGTTCCGAGCTGGGAACAGGGACCCCACAGCCCTTCAGGGCTGGAATGGCCGCCATGGAGCCGTCGGTCCGAGGTCCCAGGCCCAGGGATCTGCCCTGTGCGGGAGGAGGCCCGGCCCGACGGCAAGCTTGGTTGTGTTCCCACAATGATGGCGAGGCCAGCAGGGTGAGGGAAGTCAGGGGTTCTGGCCCCCTGCCCCAGGGCGCACTCTGGCCTCGCGGCAGTAGCCGCTGCCTTCCTAATGGTCCTATACAGAAGAGAACCTTCTGGTGCTCAAGGGCAGAATTCCCCCTGGATGAGAGTTAAACTTCTACCACATACATACTCATATACGCTCATTTATGTACAGTCATTTGCACATGGAAATTGGATATGCATGTATACAGAAGGGTTTGGTAGTAAGTGGGGGTAGGTTTAAAATTAGAGGAGGAGGGGCTGGGAAGGTGGCTCAGTGGTAGAGCTCTGGCCTTGAGCTGAAGAGCTGAGGGACAGCATCCAGGCCTAGAGTTCAGGCCTCATGATGGAAAAAAAAAAAGAAGAGGAAAAATAATCCTGAGCCAGGTACTGGTGGCTCACACCTACAATCCTAGTACTTAGGAGGCTGGGCAGGCAAGTTTTCCAGAGTCTTTTTTTGTTTTGTTTTGTTTTTGTCGGTCGTGGGGCTTGAACCCTGGGCCTGGGCGCTGTCCCTGCGCTCTTCAGCTCAAGGCAGGTGCTCTACCACTTGAGCCACAGCGCCACTTCCAGTTTTCTATTGGTTATCTGGAGATAAGAGTCTCACGGACTTTATCTGCCTGAGCTGGCTTTGAACCATGATCCTCAGATAGCCTCCTGAGTAGCTAGATTACAGGCGTGAGTCACCAGTGCACGGCTCTGCAAGAGTCTTATTGCCAATTAACCACCAGAAAATGAAGTGGGCTGTGGCACAAAGTGGTAGAGCTCAGGGACAACGCCCAGTCCTAGAGTTCAAGCCCCGCAGGCACAACTGTATATGCACCTGTGCGCACATATGTATGCATATTGATACACATAAGTACGTGCAAGACACGTGCACACAAATAGACTCACCTGTGCATTAAAGTCGTTTATGTTGCGGGTTGCTTGTTGAGTCAGGGACCTGCGTCTCGTGTCTGGTGAGCCCCGGGGGCCTTGACTCTCCTCGCCCCTGCCTCAGCCTTCTGAGTGCTGGGTTATCCTTCTGGGCTGGGACCACACTCCCTTGGCATTGCTCACTTTCTCACAGTAGCCTGGAGAGGAGGGTGTCCCTGTGTCCATTTTACAAACAAACCCAGACATAAAACTGTTACGCGACTTGCCCGAGCTCCAACAGCTGGCTGGTGCCAGAGTTCGGGTTGTTGAAAGGACACGGGACTGGCTATGTGCGTTCACAGGCAGAGACGGGGAATCAGGGATCAGACCTGAGCCAGCTGCTTCTCTGCCCTCCTTTCCTTCCCACCTGTTTCCTAGGAAGCTGCAATCTACAGGGAACAGTTCCATCTCTTCCTGGGGGCCGGAGCTCAGCTCAGTACTGCCTGGCATGTGTGAGGGCCCTGGTTCATCTCCAACACTGCCACGCAGACAAGAGAAACAGATCCCATCCTGAAGCTCACATCTTAGCTTGAAGACCCCCGGAGATGTAACCCCCACCCTGCATCCTGCCCACACTGTCCTCTTGGTGAAAAATATGGCCTTATTCAAAGGAAGTGCAGCTTCCTTTGCAAGTGATTAGCAGGAAAGGATTTACTTGATGCAAACATTTGGGCCTTCAATCAGGCCAAAAGGTGCAGAGGCCTCAATTCACAGGCAACCCAGGACCTGGGACCCTGGGGCCGGGAAGCTCTCTGGCCTGGTTGTGTTCCATAAACACGCCATTTTCCCCCACCCTTGACCCCTGTGGCTATCCCAGCCTGGGTGGAACTGACACCCAGGCACTGTTACCCGCTGTCCAGGGCTGCTGCCTCCTGGCTTGCAGATGTCCAGCTCTCCTAGATAGCCTGCTGTGCTTCTGGGTCAGGACCAGCCCCGTCCAACCAACCAGAACACCAGTCAGCATCCAGCCTCTCCAAGGTCCTGGCATAGGACTCTGTGGGGCCTGGTGCTGTGTGGGGGTCTTGATGGGGGGCATCACTGGGAGCCCTGCAGGTAATCCACAGTGGGAAACAGGGAGACCCTTTCCTCCTAGGAGAGGGGCATGGGAACGGCACTCACAGGGGCTCGCTGCTGGAGATGGCCTCTTCCCCTCGCTCCCTCCGCAGGTCACCCACCCAGGCCATTCCCCTGCCCCGGGGTTTTCACGGTGGCTTCCTCAACGTCAGACTACTTATCGTCACTGTCTTGTCTGGCTCCCTGAAGCCAACTGGCTTATCCATCACCCGGGCACGCTAGGCCAGGGTCAGGTCACACAGGGGCAAGGAGGCAGGAGACCAGACAGTAGACAGATCTCAGACCCCTGCCTCCCGTCCCTGTTCCCGAATGTGGATTCCAGCAGCCAAGGGCTCTGCTGGAAAATAAAGTAATTGGGCAATTAGCCACCAGCCACCAGAGGCATGATGTGGATTGGGCCGCGCACCTTTGTCATGCAGACGGAGGGCCAGGCTTGGCCGGCCCAGGGTCCAGGCTGGGACCAGGGTCAGGGCAGGCTTGAGGAGCGGCTTCCGGTCCTGGTGGAGGAAAGATGATGTTTGAAGACAGAAAGCGCTTCTTGGAGAGCTAAGCCAGGCCTCTCTCTCTCCAAGGTCACTAATAACAGATGTTATGAATCAGAGCTGTTGGGTTGGGGGTGCCCCAGGGCTGTGGGTGTCCTAAGAGGAACTTGAGGTGTTTCACAGACATGCACCTGCTCTGCCTCTTGTCTGCACTTCACTAGGACTGAGTCTTTTTTCTTTTTAATTTCATCGTCATGGTAATATACAGAAGTGTTACAGCTGCATCTGTAAGGTGGCCAGTGCTTCTCCAGTCTAACTCGTTACCCATGGGACCAACTCTCCTCCCCAAGTCCCCTCCATCCTGCGGTGGCCACTTCTCAGCCTGCTCCATCCAAGCCCGGGAGCCTGGTCTGCACTGCCGAGCTACCACAGGCTGCCCTGGGCTGGGGGCCGGCCCACCCTCCCTCCCTTCAGCCCCACAACTGTTCCTGCCCACCGGCAAGCTGTGTTTTATGGGGCCGCCACAGCCAGGAGTCACCTGGGGACATGGGGCCTACAAGTTCCCAGACCCCAGGGCAGACTCCTGCCACAGGAAATGACTGCCAGTCAGGCCCTGAGGCAAAGGGTCACCCAACTGCTCAAGTCGTGCTTACAGAAGCAAAGCCTGCCAGACGGTATTCCTAGGTACTCCAAAGGCTGAGATCTGAGAAGTGAGCTTCAGAGACAGCCTGGGCAGGAAAGCCAGTGAGGCTTAACCACCAAAATACTGCAAGTGAGATGTGGCGAGCGGTAGAGTACTAGATCTGAGCAAAGTAAATAAAAGCCAAGAAAGAGTATAAGGCCCTTGGGGCTGGGAAGGTGGCTCCGTGGTCGAGTGCTCATCTAGCATGCATGAAGACCTGGATTGGATTCCTCAGCACCACATAAACAGGAAAAGCCAGAAGTGGTGCTGTGGCTCAAAGTGGTGGAGCGCTAGTCTTGAGTGAAAGAGCTCAGGGACAGCGCCCAGGCCCTGAGTTCAAGCCCCATACTACCAAAAAAAGGGGAAGAAAGTATGGAGGCCCCAGTCACACACGCGCGCACACACACACACGCACACGCGCACACACACACGCACACACACACACGCGCGCGCACACGCGCGCACACGCGCGCGCGCACACACACACGCACACACACACGCACACGCACACACGCACACACACGCACACGCACACGCACACACACACACTACCCACAAAGCCTTCCCCATGATTTTTCAGCTTCCTGACTTTCTGGGGTAAGGAGGAAGGAAATGACCGGAATAAAGAATGCTGACAGCTGTGATGGGACTGTCTGGTCTGTTCTGTCCCATGGGGATGGGCCCAGAGCTTTGAGTCTGCTAGGACTGCCCCCGAGCCCATACCCGAATCTTCCTTTGGCTCATGGTCTGACCACCTCTTTGCTCTCCTGACAGCATGGAGAGATATGCCAGG